AAAAAAAAAAAAAAAAAAGTTGACATCCCTCCCTCCTCCACCTTCTGCAGTTAAGTTTGAACTCTTGTGGCCCTCTGTCTCTCTCTCATTTTGTCATTTTACTTTTCTTAGTAGCTCTCGCATTGGCGTGACGCGTGTTGTCTTTTTTTCTGGTGTCTGTGATGTGCTGTGTTTTTTTTTTGGGGGGGGGGTATTTGTCTTGGCAGGTCTCCATCATACCCTTCCTTTCGATGAGCTCTCTTGTTGCGAGCAGTTTTCTGGCAAGCCTTGGGTCGATAAGGAAATAGCTGCTGCACGCATTCCGGCATGTATACCTTTTACTTTGTTTTATGACTTTTCATATTGATTTGATTTGCTGGCCGATTTCGCCAGGCTTGGTAATGAAGAATATACGTGATTCGCCGGGGAGGAAAGGTTGGTTGTTGATTGTTTCTAATCCGATATCTCAACAGGTTGCGGAATATTTTCTTTCCTTGAAGTTCCTTCTTTTTTCTTTTTTTCGGTTTCTCAATGTGAAGCCGAATATCAACGCTAGATCTTGTTCGCAGTTGTCACCAACTCGGCAGAGATTTGCCCACGGGATTGAGACTAGGGGGATACACACACACACGAGGACCTTTCTATCTGTATCTGGATGTGATTACGATAACATTCAGTAGGAGTATTCTGTATGCATCTGGATGTGATTACTATCAGATTCAGTAGGATTCGTGTAGTGCGAGTGCCGCCTCAGTCTACTAGTTCAGTTCTGAAGTCGATGGAATGGCATGATAGGCAAAAGGGAAGGCCACTGTTCTCTTCCTCTTCCTCTTCCTCTTCCTCTTCCTCTTCCTCTGCTTGTCCTTTGGACGAAAGATCAGATCTTGAGAGGTATTTTGTCCCTCAGATGCATTTTGTTGATTTTGGCTGTTGAGAAATAAAAAGAAGAGGTTATTCAAAAAAAGTATGCCTCCGCCACTGCCAGTCGTTGAGAATGTATTAATAGGCCGACTATAAGGCCACGTACGCTTCCATCCCAATGCAGAGCTCGTTTTGGACATCCGTCCTTGGAGTATGACTGCGACTCGGTACAGAAACTTAGCTTCTTGATTTGGAAAGCTATTTGCTTAATTTGGAAAGCTTTGCCTAAATTTGTGTGTGTGTGTGTTTGTGAACTGTGTGTTGATGGAACTCGTGAGAGCCGCGATAGCCTGTAGAATGGGTTGATGGTTTAAGTAGGGAGGAGGAGCAGATCATGGAAAGGGGTTTGAGAGGAGCAAGATGAAAGAGAGAGAGAGACCTGCACTGGAGGGCTGGAGGAAGTGTGCAATGAGGCCCTGACGCTATTTTTGTTCGCTTCGGGATTCGAGCTCGTGATCTGTTTATCAAGAGCTACGTGTGTGTGCTGATCGCCCACATGTGGATTGTTCTTGCTCTTGCTCATCCCTTTCTTTTTTTTTTCTTTTTTAAAACAAACATACGCCCCGTCTATTCGTGGGGGGCCCACGGTCCGGTTGCTCGTCACCGGCAAGCATGCCTACACTTATAGAAATCACTATTTGGCACGCAACATTTGGCCGATCCTGGCCGCTCGCGGCCTACGGGCTGACGGCCCGGATTTCTGCGGGATCTTAAGCCTTTAAGACTTTAAGACTAGGATCACGCGGCGATCCAGACCGTCCGCTTTGCCAGACGGCCTGGATCGACGCGCGATCTTAAAGTCTTAAGATCGCGCGGAAATCCGGGTCGTCGGCCCGGATCGGCATGCCCATACGTGACAAACTGCCGTACGTACGTCGTTCTTGGTACTTTGTGCCCTATGGTCTTGCCTACGCGACCTACTGACTTGCCTACGCCCACCTAGGCGACCTACGCGACCTAGGTGACCTACCCACAGCCTACACGATCCATGCAACCTGCCTACGGCCTGCCTACCGTAACTCCTGTCTCTTATACACATCTAGATGTGTATAAGAGACAGTCCTTGCAGTACTGGTGGTTTGAGGAATCACTGGG